AACGTGGTTTCGGGGTAGGCTCTAATTCTTCATGGTCTCCCGGTTTAGGTTTTAAACGGTACCCGAGTTCTCCTTGTTGGTGCCCCCTTGGGCTTGCCAGACCCTTAGTCCTAAACCCATCACAAGCTTGTGTGGACTAAGTTAAACTCGAGGGGACACATTCCCTTATGCCAGCACGGTGAATAAATTCACACGAAGACATAAGGTATATGAATCCCGAAGGCTACTTGCTAGGCCCGCACGGTGAATAAATTCACACGAAGGCGTCGCTTTCACCCCCACTTAAAATAGGGTTTGGAGCTCGGATATAGAGCCTTTGATGAAAAAAAAACTTTGAAGGCTGAAATCATGAGAAAACGATTAGTCCAACTATTTACTCGAAAATATAATCAAAAGTGAGTAAAAAGGATCGAAATATTACCTTAAAATTTAAACTTACCCTTTTCGTTAAAAAGACAACTGGAAATTACCTTAGCCTGACTCACTTACCTGTGTCCCCAGCGGAGTCGCCAAGCTGTCGTAACCGTCTTTCGGTTGGGCCCGGGATTGGGCTTCGACTTGAAAAATGTGGATTGGAGTCGCCACCGATCATTTATTTAAAAATAAATAGGTAGATCGGATACCTTATTTCTTACCTGATCTGCGTCTTACCAAGATGTGTCGGATTCGGGAGTCGGTTACAGTCAAGGAAGGGTTAGCACCCTTGACTGCCCTTTCGTACTACATAATTTCCAGTTGTCTTTAATTAAGAAAGTTATAAATCTAAATTAAAAAGGTAAAATAACGATCCAAAATTACTTACCCTTGATTAATTGAATGAAGACCATTAAGAAAAACGTTACGTTTGGAGGGGTGAAAATAAATAAGATATAACAACCACAAAACCAATGATACAAATAAGAGGAGACAATACAAATAAACTAATGATAATAAGATAGATAAAGGAAAGAAGAAAAAAAATACTAATAAATGTATATATACATATATGCATGAAGAGCAAAAAAAACATACAACAAAGAATGAAAACTATATAAAAACAAAGGAATACAAATAAAACATGTGTTAAATACAAAGGAAACGCAACAGAATAAAAAAATAAAGTAAATGAAAAAAGAATATACATATAATATAAAAGAAAAAAAATACATTTATACGCCATCAATAATACTTAAAATAATAAAAATAATTATGGTTATGTATATATATATATATATGGGTATATATATATAAAAATATAATAAAATAAAATAAAAATACAAGATATTATATAAATAAGGGAGTAAAATATAATAATAATGAAAATATGGTATAATAATAGTAGGGATTAAATTGAGAATGAAATAACTCAAGGGTCAATTTACAAGGATTTCAGGTTCAATAATCGATTCAGAGGACCAAATTAAACGTTTTTGAAACTGGAGAACCAAAACGCATATATATAATAAGGGAGTAAAATATAATATAATGAAAATATAGTATAATAATAGTAGGGATTAATTGAAAACAAAATAACTCAAGGGTCAATTTACAAGGATTTCAGGTTCGATAATCGATTCAGGACCAAATTAATGTTTTTGAAACTGGAGAACCAAATCGCAAATCTCTCGCTTCTTGCAAAAACACACGGGTCCGAGGTTCATCGAGTCGGGCATAAGCTGGAACGGGTTTAATATATGATTCAAACATTTTTTTTTAGTTTCATTTCTCTCCTCCCAAATCAAAGCTCTCCTCCCCCTCTCTGAAAAACACTCTCAAGTGTTCTTCAAAAAATAAGAACACGGCCGGATTCTTCAAGAATCCAGAAACCGACCGCCCTACGCCGCCTCACCGCCGCCGTTGAACGGCGACGGCCGCCGTTCATCGGCGGCAAAATCAAAAGATTTTTTACTTTTCTGAATGCTTTTCTTCTCCTCGTTTTGAAAATCAAGTTGGTTTTTCAAAAAAAAGGCCTCGGGTTTTCGTAGATCTATACAAACGATCTCGAACGAAAACACCTTTTCATCGGCCAAAAGATTTTTTTTTTTTTTTGCTTTTCCGAATGCTTTTCTTCTCCTCGTTTTGAAAATCAAGTTGTTTTTTCAAAAAAAAGGCCTCGGGTTTTCGTAGATCTATACAAACGATCTCGAACGAAAACACCTTTTCATCGGCCAAAAGATTTTTTACTTTCAACTCAAAACAACACGATGGACGATAAATTTGACGTGCAAAGGATCAAGCGAACGAAAAGGTAAACAACTAATATACCTCGCTTTTATTTCTTGTTTCGAAATGTTGTACAAGTGTTCTGACTTTCTTTGTGATTGCTATGGTGACTTTCTGTGTGTATTCGTAGTAATCTCTCTGTGTCTAAACTTGTGTGCTTTACATAATATTTATAGCCCAAAAAAATGGCTATTTTTAGAGTTTAAATTAAAGTAAAACACTGATGTTGGTTGTTGTTGCTTATTTCTTTGTGTGGCCGAGAGTCCCGGTCGTTGAAGGCGAGACGTGCGGTGATGGGGGTCTTGCCGTGAAACTCGGTGTTGGCCGCGTGAAAAGGTAGCTGAAGCGGCGCTGACGAGGCTAGGGTTTGAGAGCATATGTTTAGGGTTTCTGAAAACCCCACACGTTTGGACTCCTACGTTTGGGTTGTGTACAGCTGGGCCTCGTGTAACAGGCCTGCAAATGTAACAGATTTGTGTGTAAATATGTATGCACCATATGTAATATATATATATATATATATATGTATATAAATTATAATGTAAATGTATTATATAATGTTAAAGGATAAAATTTGGTGTCTTCAGAAGGAAAAAGAGTGAAACAATGGGGTGTTATAGAACATGAACACACTACAACACAACATCACTGGACGACAAAAGCAAGGGATAATCCCCAAACAAAACACATACAACAAAACAACCATCCCAGATATTCAACTAATTTTGACTGTGAACCATGCCAAACAAATAAGCCAATTGGAACCAGAATACGCATAAAGCCAAAAAACCAGAAACACTATTATGGAAATCCAAAACAGAATAAAACCAGAACCAGGAACAACGATGTCCAGTATCCAGAACGATACATCATGAATCGCCATTAGCACACGTCACGAACAATAGCTTCCGGATTCCGAACAAAGTCGTTCGCCACTAGAATTAACATCGGCCATAAATAATTCGCCCAGACCGCAATCTGAATTAAGGCTTTGAAATAAATCTGATCTTCGACCAAAAGAATCACATAATTGACACTTTTCCTTTTGACATTTAATTTCCACTTTGTATGTTCTCATCATTAACCCTAAATTTGATTCCAGAATTTTTAGTACTAAATTTTACAAAATTATCGAATTACAACATATGTGAACAGTATGGCATGGGACTCCAATTTAACTTTGATAAAAAAAATTATTAGACATAACTTTGACCAATAGCAATGAATAGGCCAAATTCTGTTGTAGTCCCTTTACTATACTTGATTTGTGGATTTAGTTCTTATACTCTAATTAGTTAATTTTAGTTCCTACACTTTTCGACTTTTAAAGTTTTTACTTTAACCCAAATGATACATGAATTGAATAACAGGAACTAAATTTGCAACTTATGTATGGTACATGCATTGATAGTGGAATTCAATTTAACAACCTCAAATTGGGTTAGGATCAAAATTTTAAAATCTAAAATGTACAAGGATTAAAAATACATAGTCCAAGAGAATAATTTTACCACTAAACATAAACTGTTTACGTTGCATGAAAAAATGTTTAAATATATTAAAGGTATTTATACTATTTCATAATTTAAAATATATTCCCTTGATTAAGACGGTAAAAGTAGGGACTGAAAAGTTATTTTACCTTTTTATAGCTTTCATGTCTATAATTAGCATTAAAATTAAACAGAGGTTTAGGGAGATAAGCAAGATTTTCAAATCAAGAAATAATATAGGGACTTAATTTCATAAAAACGTATATGAACAAAATTTTAAATTTAGAATAGTTAAGGGACCCCAACACATTTAAACCGAAAAGAAAGCATTTATGAAAAAAAACATATTTTCAGGCCCAAAAGAAGAGTTGTCGGCTTCTCGTATCATCTCTACTTGTGAACCATCATGAAAAAGAACACTTTGGCATGATCAATTTTAACCCCTAACATTTGACAGCCTCTCATTTATGCCCCCACGTAAGCCAAAATTACAAATCACCATAAGTGGGATTTAGCTGTGAAAGGGAACAAACATTGACAGCAAGGAAGAACCCACTAACACAACATCTTGACATCCAAAGCGTATACATGTAAGAGAAAAAAAGGGGAAATGATGATGGATCTTGTTCCGGCGACCATTATTTGCCACTCATTTCTTAATTAACTTTGCCAACCATTTTAAAAGGAAAACACTAGATTTTGGTGGGAAAAAACTTCATCAATGCTTGCTTACTTCATAAATTAGACTTTGATTAAATTGACCCACTCCATTATCTATATAATATAATGAATGAAGGATCATCTATAACGGGATGATTGAGAGATTAAATATTTAACTTATTAAAAGGAGACTAAATGTCACTATAGATACGATAATTAAGATGAGTCGTGCTAAACTGAGCCTGACAGGAGGGGCACCAATTCAGAACCCAAAATTGAGAAGTCCACATAAATTATCTATTTAGTCACTCATTTGTTATTTCATTTATGTTTTGGTTTTTCAATTATCATTTATTATCCAATAACAATTGTTAAAGGTCAAGTGACCGATTTGTCATAAAACAATAACATTGGTGATGAAATTATTACTTTTAAAACTTCAGTGTTGAAAGAAAGAACGTACTTTTACCTCAATGATTATATATGTAGTTTACCCTAAAAGATTCATAATGCTAGCTCGTTAAACCCAATCCCTAAAATGCGAAAGAGCAAAAAACTAGTTTATTTATAAAGGGACAATGAAGCCCATTATTAGGTCATAGCAGTTTAGAATGGGCCTATTCATGGAGTCAACAGAAGATCAAATAACCGAAAGATTCATTTTGGTACAGCTAAAATCTTCAAATCAAGTCCTTTCAATTGTTTTTCTTTCCAGGTTTCGGGGACTCTTCTTGAACTAGTTTTCGATCTCACCTCAGTAATCAATGGTATGTTCTTCGCATTAATCTCTAAGATTCAATTTATTTCGTTCTGTTCAATAAGTATACTTCTGTTTGTTCTTTTTCTTCTTTACTATTGCTAATGATTAGGGATTCTGATATTTTCTGAATCTTCGTGTTCATCTTTGCTTTAAATTGAATAGCATTCGACGTTTATTTTAGTTTCTACTGTTTCGTAGATTTTATTTGGGATAAATTGTGAAATTTTGCGTTCATAATAATGATAAAATGGATGAGATGTGTGGCGCATTAGCAGGAACTGGAAATAAAAAAAAAAAAACTTTTTCATTAATGTCTCTGGAAACCCTTTGATTTGAATAATTCTTTAACTTGAACAGTTTGGTGCTTAACATTTTCAGTGTTTTTGTCTTTGGCTTGCTGAATTTGCAAATCTCTATGTTTTTCCGGATCTGGATCTTCAATTTGCTTAAGTGTCAGTTTCTGATGCTTCTGTCCAACATATTTTTGGACACAATCTTCCAAATACATAGTGAAAAAAAACGGGGTTGGACTTGCAATACTATCTGACACTCATACCCGAATACGAGTAAGAGAATGATGTAGTAAAACATTTTTGGAACTAGAATTGGTCTTGATTAACTCTTTAATAAATGTTAGATCAGGCTAGTCTTTACAGAGGACCGTCGAGGAAAGACAAGCAGAAGGGAAGACACCATGGATTAAGCCAACAGAAGAGGCAGGAGATTAAGGAAGCTTTTGAACTGTTTGACACTGATGGATCAGGTATGGAATGACTAAAGTAATACTGATATGTTTTCGGTATTTTTACTTAATTATAAGTTTGAATTTGTTGGCCAGGTACCATTGATGCCAAAGAGCTTAATGTTGCTATGAGGTATGGGTATTAATGTCTGATGTTTCCTGTTTGTAAAGAGCATTTTTAATTCATATCAACGCATTGAAACTGAAAGTTTTAGCATTACAGGGCTCTCGGTTTTGAAATGACAGAAGAGGTAAGTTTTGTAACAAAGAATGCTGCTGGTTGAATGTTTGATTTCCTTTTCGTTTCTTAAATGATGTAATAGTTAGCATATGAAATCGATTTCCTTGGGATCCTTATGTTCTGATATGATGTTTCACACCAGCAAATCAATCAAATGATTGCGGATGTTGACAAGGATGGCAGTGGTGCCATTGATTTCGATGAATTTGTGCACATGATGACTGCCAAGATTGGCGAGAGGGACAGTAAAGAGGAGCTTATGAAAGCATTCCAAATCATCGATCATGATAACAATGTAAAGATCTGTTTTTATCTGTTTATTTAGATTGAATTATGTTAGCTGTTTTGGTGGAAAGATTGATTCTTCATTTGAATTCAGGGAAAGATATCTCCTGAAGATGTTAAACGCATTGCAAAGGAGCTTGGTGAACACTTCTCCGACAAGGATATTCAAGACATGATCGAAGAAGCTGACCGAGATCGTAAGCTAACCTTTCTTCTTGAATCTTGACAAAGTGCTCTATGATTGTTTTGCTTTTACAAATTTGTTCTAGTTGATAGACTGACTTTACCCTAAACATAACCTCCAAACCGAACAAGGCCAAACTGGCTAAACTGAACCAATTTGACTTCGGGGTCGGTCAGTTAAGTCAGTAACCCATTTCACTGGGGAAACTGCCCTTGAAATAATGCCAGCCTGCTTTTCTTTACATAAACTTGTTAAGCTTCATCTACGCCGAAGCAAACATTTTAATCAATGTCCGATTGGTGAATGCAGATGATGGGGAGGTAGGTATCGAAGAGTTCACGAGGATGATGAAGAGAACTTCTTATGGCGGATATTAGAGGTTCGACGTACGGCTGGAGGGAGCGTTCAATAGCTGCAGCTGTGGCATATTGTATAAATAAATTAAAAACATGTGCATGGATTTATATAGTAGGTTTGAATATAATTGGTCATGACTTTTAACCGTGTTATTCTCTATTATGTTTTGAGTAATTTGTATCAGTATCTTGTTGGCATTGTTTGGGCGGATGACCAGTGACGATTATATAGGGATGGCAGCAGGTTTGAAAATTTTGAAATTGAATTTTCATAGTTCTATTAAAATCTGAATTTATTTATATAATGACTTAAATTCTGAATTTAATTATATAATGACTATCGAAATGCGTTAGAAGGACAACTGAAAGTCGATTTGTACATAAGACATTTCAATCCTGAAATAATTATATCTTATTCAAGATTTCATCTAGGGATGGGAACGGGTGGGCGGGTCGGTTTTTTGGTTGCCCCCGACCCCGACCCGAAAATACATTGTCTATACATGATCCTGTCCCGATAACTTTTAGCTTTACTCCCGTCCCGATTTTTAAACTAAAATCTCGACCCCGATCCGATCCGATTATATCAATATTTTAAAATAATTAAAATAATATATTTTATATTAATATATTTATAATTATTTATATTATTAAAATAATATATTTTAACATTATAAAAATAAAAATATTAAAAATCTTAAATACATATAAAACCGGGTCGGGTCACCTTAAAACCGGCCTTGCCCCACCCCGAACCTACCTACTATATAACTTGCCCTGTCCTGCCCCAAACCCCAAAATTTCAAAAAAAATTGCCCCTATAGGATCGGGACGGGTCGAGTCCGGTCGGGGTTCGAATATTTTGACCATCCCTAATTTCATAAAAAATTAATTAATATTTCAACTTCTAAAAAAATTTAATTTAGTGTACAAAATAAATTATTTCACCTTCCTATACTTTTATCATGTGTGTTGTCCAAAATAATTTAATTGCTTTTAGAATCGATCCATTTTTGAACTGATCAACATATATTTGTTCGTCCTAATCCTTATCATTTGATATCATGTCATGCCTATGATGATATATATATTTTATTGGGTAAACTACGCATTTAGTACCTAAAATATAAGGTTTGATCTATTTTAGTATCTAACTAAATTTTTAATTTTTTTAAAACTATATCTAATATTTAGTTTTTATTTTATTTTAGTATCACTCCGTTAAAATCTTAACGCGTTTAGTACCTAAACTATCAGTTTTGATCCGTTTTAGTACATAAACTTTCAATTTTTTTCAAAACTTAACGTTAAATTGTGAACGGAGACTAAAATGAAAAAAAAACTAAAATTTCTATCAGAGGGGAATTAAAATGAAACAAAAAAAAGTAACTTTAGATATGATTTTGAAAAAAATAAAAGTTTACATAATAAAACAAATCAAAATTGATAGTTAAGGTACTAAACCTGTAATTTACCCTACTTTATTTCTGCGCATATAGGCATGGTAAGTGCTAATGGAATATATTTGTCACGACGACATGATTTATTCAGTGATTGGAGTGAAGAATAGTTAATAATTAGGAGCTCAATTACCAAAATAAAAAGAGGGATCTCTAGTATTTGCTAGTTGATTATTCCATGTCTCGGAAAGTGGTGACAGTTTATAGTTGCATGAACATAAAGTGTGATTAATTCTATTATATGCCATTTTCTTAATGTCTATTTTTCTTTTCGATGTATAATTTTTGAAAATATTATATATTTAGTTTTAAAAACTTAGATTTTTTTGTTGGTGTGTCTCTCATATTTTTTTTCGTCTTTGTTGATCGGTGACGACACTAATTTTAATGTTGGTTGTCGAACATCGATATTCTTTATTTTATTTTTCTTTTTTATATCACATCTTTATTTTTATTTTTTTTATTTTTAATAAGTCTGTCTGTGTTACACGTTTTTATTTATCTTTATAACACATTTTCTTGTGATCAAGATTTTTCTAAGGGTTGATTTAATCTTTCATTGTGATCTTTATGGCACATTTTCTTGTGATCAACTTTTTTATTTTTATTTTTTAAGGATTGATTTGACATCGTCAAGACTGATCAAGATGGTGCATATATGATATCTTGTGATCTTCCCTGCTTTGAACCCTCGGATTGAATTTGAATACCTGATTTGCGTTCATGGATAGCTTTCCACGTCGCTCGAGTTTGATTTGCAATTTATCGGTGGTCTGTCAATAGCTTGACCCCCCTTGTGGTTTGTTTGCCGATACGATCAGATCTGTTTATATTTATCTTTGTTTGAGTTTCTTGGTTAGATTTAATATTTCATTGGTTAGATTTAATCTTTCATTGTATGACCCTTATGTGATCTTAAGTTACTAATTTTGTTTCAATGATTATAGGAAATTTTCCTAGTTATGTGCTTAATTTACTATTGTGATTGTAAATCTTTATTATAATTTGAGATATTTCATATTTTGAATAAAATTAGTTGTTTCTATCAAAAAAAAAAATTATATATTTAAACATAACCTAATATTCATAGAGTCAAAGCAATCTATATTCTTCCTCCTAGCTTTAATTCTAACAATATCCTTTATAATATTTACAATAGCCTCAGCAGAACGAGTTTCACCTCGAAAGATCCGAAAATTCCTTTCCTCCCAAATATAATAGATATGAGCATTCCTCGCAAGCTTCAGAATAAACACCAACAATGACTTATCTTTCAAGCCAGCAGATGCCCAAGCCAACTCGAAACTCCAATCACGGACAGCCCTCCGTAAGCCACAAAATGCAAAACTCGACCCGAGACATAGCGAGATGGAGAACATGTAAAGAACAAATGGTCCCTCGACCCAGGGACACAACCACAAGTAGGACAAGAATAATCAATCCCCAAATTCATTTTCAACAACCTGTCCTGAGTACTAAGTCTGTCCTGAGTACTAAGTCTGTCCAGAATCGCAAGCCAAACAATAATAACATGTTTAGGAACATGCAAAGGAAACCAGACAAGCTTTTGCCAAGGAACAACAGGACCCTTCGTCCTAATTTCACCCCAAATCCAGGCGGCCTTCACATTATGTAAGCTTAAAGCAGAAGCAAAAATAGGCAGCTTCTACCCTCAGTTTAGACAGATTCCGCAAGAACCAGCTAGCATTACACTTACCCTCAACATGCCAAAAGTCGTCCCCTTTCAGGACATATGCACGAACCCAAGCCACCTAAAGAGAACCTTCACCAGCAAGTAAGTCTCTAATAAGCTGCACAGCACACGCCCTATTCCAACACGAAACATCCTTGAGACCCAAACCACCTTCGAACTTCAAGGAACAAACCCGCTGCTAACTAACCTTTGCACCCCCAGCACTAGAATCCTGCCCCTTCCATGCATAACTGATTGATTCTTTGATAATGGATAGGTCTGGAAAGTGTAGTTATTCGAACCTAAATTCTTTAAAAATTAATATTTTCTTATTATTAAGATCCAATAGGTTCTATGTTACCACTTACATTATACCGACCATTTTGCCAAAGAGAAATACTACTCACAATTAGAAGCAACAAGTGTAGCAGAAAGAGAGAAGCTGCTACAGCATTTTCTTTATCAAATTACAATTATTTCCTAAAAAGAAGGAAAAATTATTACAACTGACTAATATAGAGAAGCAGTTGGCATACCAGAAACGAGGAAGAAGCAGAAGCAGCAGACATTCTAGCAGTTGAAACTGACAAATTTTGGTGGCTCCGAATTTCCACAAAACCACCAAATATTTTATTCCAACAGAATTTCATTATATTAGCAATTTTAGATTTTTTTTTATAGATTTTTCCGACGGAGATGGCGTGAGTTGGATTTTCTTCATGTCTTTAATCGAATCCACCCGTAGCGCCCTTCCAATGGTTCATCCTTTAAAATATCGTAGTTGTACCTAAAAGTAGTCAAGCCAAAACAAATTTTCTTTTCCTTAGTTTGAAATTACTGTTTGGTTCCCAAGAAAATGTAATAGTAGAAGGAAAGGGAGAAAAAAGACAGGTGAATTGTGAACGTACTTTTCAGCAAAGTGATTCTGAAGTTTTCCCTCGGCAACAGAGAAGAATTCTTCCAGTTCAGCTTCGGTTGGCATCTCCACCACCGTTGATCTCCGCTCTGATGGCGTCGACCTTGAATCCATGTCTTCTGCTTCTGCTGACGGCGTCGTTTCTCTCCTGCTTCAGTTCACGGTGGAGACGAAGAGAACAAGAATTAGAGAGGAGTATATAAAATTCAAGTTCTAGAACGTAAGAAAGGGAATTTAAAATTTGAATTCAAGAAAGAAAGAAAACTTAAATATCAACATAAATAAATTTATACGTTTATAATCTATTAGTAAGTTCAATTTCACCAACCTTTCTCTGCTGCTGAAATGCGTGGATGTTTCATCTTCAATGCTCTCATCCTGGGAAAATAATTCAAAAACTCTTCAATTTAATAACATCAATTAGAGTTCGAGAAACTGAAATTCCTAGAATTTATTATTCTTTTAACAAAAATTTCAAAATTCACCTCCGGATCTGGCAATTCAATATTTCTTTCCTCGCACGAGCCGAGATTGCTTGAAGAACATGACACGTCGTCATCATGATCCGAGTTAGACTCCAAACACGGATTTTTATTGCCGCGATGATGATCCACCAAAATTCTCTGGCCTCTTAACTGAACATACGACGTCGTTGGAGAAGTTACTCTAAATTCAGCTTCTTCTCCACCGTCATCGTCGTTAAATCTCCTCCGTTTCTTCTGAACTGTTCCCGTTGCCACCGGCACCATAGCTGGTGTTCGGACTACGACGTCAGCTACCTCCATAACAGCAATTCCTCCAGCTTTTTTGGGTTGTGAGCATTCGCTTTCTGCTTTTGTTAGTTTTACGATGATGATGAGAGAGGGGTAAACAATTGAACGGCGAGGATTTGTTTTGCTGTTTTAAAGAGGTTGGCTGTAGGTGATGAACTGATGGTGGTCCATTTAACAGAATCTGTAACGCGAACATTTGACGGCATAATATTTTTTTATTAAGTTAAAGTATTGAACATGATTTTATTTACCGAATAATATTTTATTCATTTTGCCTAACTCTTTTTTTATTTCGATTTAGTTATTATTTAACTATACTTATAAATATCTTATTAAGCAACATAAATAGTAAAATAATAATGTTAAAAGATCCGAGTCTAAATAATTGTCTATGAACTGTTATTAAATAATTAAGAAAAATTATTAACAAATATTATTTTGTAATCACTTTAAACTATTAAATATTATATTTTTTTATTTTTTATTAAATATTTAAAAATAAATCAAATTAAATATTATTATTATTATTTTATTTTTTAAAAAATAATATAATATAATTAAAAGGGTAATATAATTTTAGAATTATTTTAGTCTATCGACAGACATACACATATCTGATAGATACAAACATCCAAATTTAAATCCTCTAATAGAACACTTATTTTTTTTTCTAAAATTACTCTATTATTGTTTCATTGAAATGTACATTTTTTTCCAAATGAATGAATACGAAAATATGAATAAATGAATAAGGGCCGTAAAGGCCTAATGGGTAGGTAACGAAGAAATGAATGCTGGCACGTGGACAAGGATAATGATATATCTTTTCACATTCTGATGAATGATGCCATTTGAGATTTGAAAACATGCATGCATATCTCACGTGGGTCATGTATAAACTAGAGGCATATGGACCACTCCCCAAGAAATACTCTGCGTTTCTAGCTTCAACAGCCGTGGGATTTTTAACCATGCATCAACGTCCATCCAAACTCTTCCACATATATTTCAACTAGTACGTATTGCTGAGTAAATGTCCTTTGATTGAAATACTTGCCTATTTTATATTTCAACTAATTAGTCTAGAGGCATAAGGCATTAAATGTCTAAATTTCTTATGTAAGAGTAGGAGTTTAAATATTGGTGTTTACGAATAGAGTAAAATGAATTGAGACGGTCTTCCTTATCTCTACAGTAACCGATCTGAATTAGTTGATTAACAAATCAGATACCAGTGATTAATTAAAAAAATAAGCAATTGGGAGTAATATATAAATATGTTTATTGTATTAAGTTATTATAAAATATGATATGAAATTAAATGGTGTGTGTGTATATATATATGGAACATCCAATAATTCATGTCCTTTATTTTGAATTTCGATTGGTGATGTTGGAAAAATAAATTTGGGTCATCTCAGTTATGAAAAACAAATATATCTCTCCTTTTTGTGTCTTTTTAAAATCCATTTTGCCCTTAAAGCAGTGCTGAAAGACATTTTTCAAGGCCCTCGTTCACTCACTTTTATATCTGCCTATTCAAAAAGCAAGTCAACCACACTTTTGAAACTCAAGTTTCTTCTTGCTTCTTCTCGAAGCCACATAATAAATAAATAAAATATAAATTGCAGTTAATGGTATAAATTGAATAAATAAGTGGAGTCTAATCCTTTATCATCCTAATTTTGACCCAAAATTATTATTTTTGGGTGAGTTATTTATTTATTTTTTGACAAAACGACAGCGTTTTGTTTACCATTTTAAGAACTCTATTCCGTGGATATCAGATTGTAAAAGGCTGTGAAGTTCATTTGGTGGTTCTTAAATCCAGTGCGTCCCTTCAACTCTTCTGGAAGCTAGGTTGGCCATCCGATCGGCGCATCGATTTCCCTCCCTCCAGGTATGTCGAACTTCTTTAATCCATCATTCTTTCACCATCTTTCGACATTCACTGATGATGATTTCATGCTGCATGTTGGTCGATTCTCCTCCTTGTAACATTTCGATTGCCTATTGAGCATCCACTTCAATCAGGAAGTTTATCGCTCCCAAGGTCTTCGCAAGTCTCATGTTCATCCGCTTCGATTTACGACTCTGAAATTTTACGCCATAAAATCTGTTTCCCAAATCAATACGGTCAAAGTCATTTTCCAGTTTCTATAATGCAGTGATCCGACTAATTAACTTCTTGTAGGCAACTGTTCTTCCCATTAATTTTATTATGAAAGCTTTCCTCCATGGTTTTCGGATTCTTTCTTTAACTTCTTTATCAATCTTGATTGTAGGATTGTCATCAACTTCAGGCTCGGTTTCTTCATCCGATTCAACTTCTTCAACTTCGCTTCTTGTTGCACTATTGAACATCCCTGTAAAGAAGGAAGAATCTGCAACCGTATCTCTCCAGGACCTTTGAGTAGCATTCTCTCCTTCCTGATCGATGCTTGAAGTCGTGCGTGGCCTATATTCACTTCCTCCGCCTTCTCTGCCATCGATGTCACCATGGTGACTGGCGGGGTATCATTTTGCAATTCACCTGACTCAGAATAAGGATCTTGAATTTCTTGAAGAATTCTTCAGTATTCTTCAAGTTTTTCGTTGGGTAAAATGAATATTTCTTGGGTGAGTTATTGAATCATATTCAATTTGATTCAAGCTCCTCGTCCCAACTCCTAACCTCTCGGTGGACCCTGTATAATATAAAAATAACCTCTCAAACCTTCCTAGCAAGCACACATTCAAAGAAAATACGGTTCCTTGTCTCCTGCACATTTCCACAATTTCTACAAAGACTACTTACAGCAATTCTCATCTTGATTAACCTATCAGCAGTATAATTTGATCCAAATTTATTTTTACCTAAACCGAAAGTAATATGAATTTAATTTATTATAACTCTGATTCGAGTAAAACATCAATCTAATTTTAATCCGATAATTGAATCAAAAATGAATGAATCATTTATTTTTATTATTATCTATTTTTAACATTTTAATGAATAATAAAATAATGTATATTTTATTCTCTTTCTATATTATACTACTAATTAACTATCATATTTGATAATAGTTTAATGGTACAATTTCATCTTCTTCTTTTTCCTTTAAAAGATCATCTTCATATCTAATAATTTTTATTTTTTTAAAAAACATATGATACAAAGGGTTATAAAATAAAATTTCTCACTACTCAAAATTTAATTTATGTGACGAACTTTAATTGACGTCACTTAGACAATAGTCTAAAGTTAACTTTAAAAAATATTTTTTTTATTAATAAATAATTTATTTTTTAGAAATATATATTAACATATAACACAAATATCAAATAAAGAGTTCTTATTTAAAAGTTGTGTAGCTATAAACTATAAGTCAAATATCTCTACATTCAATTGTTCCTACATTATTTTATTATAGAGACTGATCTAGAAGAAAATAATGATAGATTTTGATTTAAAAAATAAAAAAATTTAAGTTAGAAAAACAATATATTATAATGATTAACTTATGCATAAATTCATTTTTAATTAATATTTTATACTATAAAATTGATGTTGAAATGATTAAATTACACAAAGTATCTGTTTTTTTATGTATGCTGACTATAAATTTGAATAGGGGATGATTATGTAAGATTTGAATCTTAATTTAAATGTTAACAAATAACAATCATTGAGAGAAAGCTTGTTAATCTAGACAAATATCTTAACTTATAAGTAAAAATTAAAGAAAAGAAATACAACCAACAATGCTTAATGATAAAACTATCTTCAAATATTTTTCTAAACGATTATTTTAATTCATATTTTTATTAAAACATTTTAATCTTTAACATTTTAATTTTTAGATAAAATAAATCGTATCATATGAAAATCATTAGTTGACTAACATTTAACATACATTATTAAGGTGTCATTTTTCACATGTACTTAATTATTGCCATGCCATATTATATCGTTCAAGATTATGATATGTACTATATCACCTTAAAATTATGATGTAATATGTTTTTTGTTAATCAATATAAGATATGACATGTAAATTGAACCAAGCATGAAGGGAGATAGCTCACGTTGTTTGCACTTTAAAATTAGGGTGTGGACCGTGTGGTCCAATTCGTGGGGACGTGGGGGTACATCTCATATGCTTTATTGTCTTGTCCTTTTGCTCAATGAACCTAACACAATATTGAATCGTCGGTTTTTAAAGGGCGGTGAGAGAAAAAAAAATAGTGCACCGACATTTGTTAAATTGGATCAATCCAATAGACAACGCTCTAATACACTTGTACCCAAATTATTCACCAAATAAGCCCAATATGATCCATAATTTCAAATTTTGTATTTTAAAAAAAAAATTAAATCATATACCATTCAACTTTAAGATTTGAATCCTTTTTTATATTAAAATTCTAATTGTTTTAAATTTAATATATCACTTTGATTACTTGAACTGTATACAGGGCAAGTAACTCATCTTTCCATATGATTTTATAGTCTTATATTTGAAAAAAAAACATTTAGTTTTGTATATTCTTCCTAGAAATAAGTTAATTCTTTCTGTAATATATGGGTCTTCTTGGATCCCTTGGAATTAGAGATGAGCGTTCGATTGAGTCGAGTCGAGTCAATTTAAAAAATTTCGAGTTATTTGAGTTGACGAATCCTATTTTACAACTCAGAATTGACTTTAAAAATTTAGTTTAGTCGATTTTTTGAGTTTCTATTTAAATTTAATTGTAAATATTTATGATATTAAAATATGATTTGATTCCAATTTAAGTGACTTTCTATAACTATATATTCAATACAAATATATCTCTTCATATTTTTTTTTCATATGTGATATACATATATCATACAAAGTCCAAGGACTCGACTCAAAGTTGAAAATAAATTCACTAATAACTAAAAAGTTCGAGTTATTCGAGTTACATTTCACAATTAGATTTGAACTTGATATTTTTTCGAGTCGAGTCGGGTTTATGAAATTGCAACTCGAAGTCAATTCGAGTCGAGTTTTTTTCGAGTCAAATCTAGTCGAAAAATTCGGTTTTTCGAGTCGAATAGAGTTTTGCTGACTCCTACTTGAAATAGGGACGAACGCTAGGAGTGAATTTAAACTTAAGTGGCAAACTTAAATTTATAAACTTTCATAAGGGAAATACATATTTTAAATAGATAATAGAAAAAAGAATAAAAAATTTATAATAATTTTAAATTTTCAAGCATCGTACTCGTCCGCTCTCTTGGTCCGGTACTGCCTTAGGGGGACCATTCTAAAGAAAAAAATGAATGGTTTTCTGAGCTGCGGTGGTGGGCTGCTATCGGCAATTCACTAATGCTTTCCCCGGATTCATCACCGCCCATTCAATGCAACATAAACCAATGGTTAGGAGATTTAACTAATACTTTTATTTAATTTTTTTTACATAAAGTTTAGTTTTTATTTTAATTTAATACTCGTCGTTAAAAATTTTAATTTTTTATATTATTTTAATACCTTGTTCGAGATTTAACGTTAAATTTTGAAAAGATTAAAAGTCTAAGTATTAAAACATACCAAAACTAATAATTTAGGTACTAAATGCGTTAAGTTTTTTAACGGTGGGTATTAAAATGAAATGAAAACTAAATATAAAGTATGGTTTTAAAAAATAAAAAATAAAAAGTTTAGATACTAAATACATAGTTTACCCTTAAGTTTTTAGATAAGCTTAATGGGAGAAACCGATAAATAGATCTGAGAACTTCGATCTAATAATAAATTATCAAAATAAGAAATTTAACATTTCAATAATCAATTTATTACTAATTAATAATAATTAAAATTTGAAAATTAAATAAAAATACATAAATACATGAATTTATTACTAAGTAATTGACATCTTCATGGCAGTGATAATGCATGTGTCCAACAAATCATACATACAAACAATTCGTCATAATATGGTAAATCATACCATATGAGAATTGGGTTTTGTTGTTGTTGTATATTCGAAAATTAATGCATTCATGTTGTTTTCAATCAACATTCATTATTTATTTCCCACTAAGACCTGCTGGTTTGTTTCTATTAGGCAAAGTTTTAACGTCGCCGGCCAAAATGCCCTTTCTAGACCATTGATGTTAATAGACCAAAAGGTACTCGTTGAAAAAGCTAGGAAAAATGACGCGTTATCTATCAAGCAAAGATTCGCCAATTAACCACCATCATTTCATATATATATATATATATATATATATATATATAGAAGAATGCATAATTCTAAGTTAAGTTCAAATTTTTAAAGAATCGAATTTATAAAATATATGATAATTTAATTTTTTTTTTTGAAGAATGATGGATACCTATATAGAATCAATTGCATTATATGTCCTTAAATTACGATTCTCATTATAAATTGTTCATTAAACTTTTAAATATTCTAATTCATCCCTAAATTATGACTTTTATTTTAAATTACTCCTCCAACTTTTCAACATTTTAGATTCATCTCCAACTATGATATTCATTCTAATTTGATCCTCAAACTTTTTGAATATTTCAATTTCATCCCAGATTATATGTATTATAAATCACATCCCTTGTTAATAAAATCATTAGGTCAAGTTATATTATTATATATTTGAAAAATATAAAACTTAGGTTAAACTATGATTGAAACTGATTTCATATTTGGATGAATTTGAGGATGAAATTGGAAGATTCAAAAGTTTTGGGATATACGACGAAATTAACGCTACATGTATTTGATGATTGGGCGGTCAAGAAAATGGAAGATGATGTGGGGCTATATAACGGGGGAGTCTAGGCTCTAAACAAGGCAAATTGCCTCTCAATAGGGAGGCATCGAGATAGACAACTGAAAGTGGCACTGCTGCTTTTAAACGACTCCCCATGATTTGCTATGTCATTAACTCTCCTTTCAACTAACTTCTCTTCTGGGAAAAAAAGAAAGTTAAAGTTTACTAAAGATGCGCAGGATGGCAAGCTCCACCACCGCCAGAGGCGTCGCCGCCATTGTAGGCGTCGGTCCTAAGCTTGGACGATCCATTGCCCGTAAGTTCGCTCATGAAGGATACACTGTGGCCATCCTCGCCCGAGACTTAGGTACCCTTTCTCTCTCTATTTCGCTTTATTTCCCAATACTGGACAATACGTATGTGTGTATGTTTTTGCAGGAAGGTTGTCGAGATTTGCTGATGAGATAGCGAGGGAAGAGAAAGCGCAGGTGTTTGCAATCAGAATAGACTGCTCCGATTCCACAAGCGTTATCGAAGCATTCGAGGGCGTTCTTTCGTTAGGATTTGTTGAAGTTCTGGTGTACAATGCGTATCACCAGCCGGTTTCTCGGAACCCCACCAGCTTCACCGACGTTAAAATCGATTCATTCGAGAAATCGCTCGCCGTTTCCTCCCTCGGTGCTTTCCTTTGCGCTCAACAGGTACCATTTTCTCTCCATCCAAAGATAAGTATCCTTTCACCTTATAATTTTTTTATCTAATGGAATCGAATCAAATGGAAGGTGCTTCCTGGGATGGTGGGAAGGCGAAGGGGAACGATTCTTTTCACTGGTCAATCGGCTTCGCTCCATGGCATCGCTGGTTTCTCTGAACTATGTAAATAAAAATTTCAGCCATTAAAACATATTACAGACTTACTAAAACTTCAAAGAAAATGAGAGAGATTTTATCGTAAAATCAAACAGGTTGTGGAAAGTTCGCCCTCAGAGCTTTATCCCAATGCCTGTCGAGAGAGTTCCAGCCTCTTGGTGTTCATGTTGCTCATATTATCATTGATGGGGTCATTGGTATATCCAGGTAACCAATGTTAATGGGACCTTTTATTTCCATTACACTTTAAAGTATTTGTATTTAGGATGTCACAAGGAGCATCGACACGTCTAACTACCGAATCAAGTCCAATATTAATAAAAAATAAAATGTTTTTAATATGTAAAAGTATATTTATATATAAATATATTATTATACAAATTCGTGAGTGACTTGATTGAAATCAAATTGAAATTTTTGTGATCTTATTGATAAAAAAAATTAATTTAATGGTCAAAACAGAATCAAGTAAAAATAGTTTAGTGAATTTGGAGATGATTTACCCTTGGATTTAACATAAATATCCGTTTATAAACATTAAACAAAGAAATAAAAAGATTAAACAAATTCACATTTTTTTATTAGTTTGGAGTATGTACAATATAGTAACTGTTTAAAGAATCCCACGAAAGGCATTTCATAATTCGGAGGTCTCCTACGGAAGCTGCTCTCAACCTGGTGTTGGGGCAGCCTACTATCCTACCTCCCCCTTTCCCCATTACATATGGGAATACCCCATTACATATGGGAATAATTACATATGGGAATAAGGGTCAGCTAATTTTTACAATCTTTTGACATTGAAGGCTCAAACCCCTACTATTTATGGTGCTCGAACATGGATCCTCAATGAATAACAATAATTCATTTACCACAAAAGTCACTTGGTTTGTGCAATAAGATATTTAGATTATGAGATATATTTGAAAATGTGGAAATGAAAGTAGTTTGCAGTTTAGATAAAATGAGATGAATGAAGTGTTAAAATGGAAATGCAGGGGGGCATCGGCATCCGAGGGAGGGGATGAAAGTGAAACCGAGCCAATGATGGACCCGGACGCAATAGCTCGGACCTACTGGCACTTGCATGTTCAGGACCGGAGCGGTTGGACTGAGGAGATTGACCTTCGTCCCTCTAACCACATTCTATTATAGCCACACATAATTCCGTGTCGTCTATTTCTTACATGTTATACGTCTTGTTATCCTTAATAAATGATGTCTGCAATTTGAGTGTATGCCACCTAGATCAAAATCAAACTCGAGTTGATTGCATGTGAAAAAGATTAAAGAATCCTCGGAGTGTCCAAAATTATCTTATTAATCATCATAAAAACAAATAACAACAATAACATGAAAAATAGACAAAAAAAGATAAAAATACAGCATCTTCAACAACAACAAAAAAACATAAAAATGAGGAAACATGTTGAGCAAAAGATGGGATGAACTAGTTATTAAATGCGTCAACACTCTACACTAATTTGCACAAAATCATTTTTGGTGAAGGCTTCATCCAATACACTTAAAGCCTTCATTTTTAGGGCGTGTATGCTTCCTTAATTCATCAAGTTTTCGAAGAGATCATCTTTTATGCATCAGTTATTCAAGCTTTTAATTTTATATTCGAGCCATTTTCTTATATTTAAAATATTTTCGAATCTAAAAAACGATTTCAACCGAAACATTAAAATTTTAATTTAAAATCAAACTAATCACAAATAAAGTTTGAAATTGATCAGCATGATAGTTGGACTTGTTTTTATTAGAGGGGCTATTTTTTTAATTTATTGGTTTGAGTCGATAATCATATTTCAAACGTAAGTTTTTGGCTGAAAATGAATTATTTAAGAATATCTTTTAGTTTCAAACAAAATTTTAAGCCAAAATGACTTCTATAAACATTTTCAAATTCTATCACTTACTTGCTTAAACTCATATCCAGGGATGGCAATGGGTCGGGTCGGGTTTTTGGGCCACCCGACCCGACCCGAGAAGAAAGAGTTTTTCACCCGTAATCCGACCCGACCCGACGAAATTAAGGTTTCACCCGACCCGAATATATGACTTAGAAACCCGACCCGACCTGACCCGACCCGAAATAATAATAAAAAAAAATTTATTCAATGAAAACAGTGACTTAATTGAAAAAAATTATATATGGAGGGACATTATTGTAATTATCCCTAAATATATAGGATAAAATTATATATATTTTTCGGGTCGGATTTTTTTCACCCTAAACCCGACCCGACCCGACCCGAACCCGAATTTTTTTTAAAAAAATCTGACCCGATCGGGTCGGGTCGGGTCGGAACCCGTCGAATTCGGGTTGAGTTGCCATCCCTACTCATATCCGCTAAAAACCAATATACGTGTAACTATCGACCTTACTATACCTTATGTCAAGGCGTGTGCCTGCTAAGTACATGGGATTTTTCTGCGAGGGTTCGAATCTCTCAGGCGACGTGTGATATTAACGAGAGATGAACTTAAGATTTTATGTTAAGAGACAAACTTGAATTTATAAAATTTTAGGGAGTAAAAATATATTTTTAATAAAAAAAACATGAAAAAAATTTAAAATATATGGTAATTTTAAATCTTTAAAGTAGGCGACCGCCTCGTCTAGATTCATCCTTGAATTCTACTACACAATGTATAACTCTTTTAATTTTACAATTTTTTTAGGGTCAATGGGTGAGAAAAATTAAAAGATAAGATTAACCATAGAAAATGAGAATACATATGTATATAGTTGTTTAAATAGAAGACAATCAATACATTAAATCATAAATAATTGATTTCAAATTTAAACATAAATTCGAATAATTTTATTCATTTTAACTTGAATTAATTTTATAAATTTTACTCGACCAAAAAAATCAAATAAAATTCATAAAATCAAGTAAATTAACTATTTAATCGAATTGATCAAATATTTTAAGTATTAAAAAAAGCATTATTTAGGAATCTTTTAGGTTTAAGCCGGAAGAAAAAAGAACTAGGAGAAGATGGCCATGCACGCACGAACATAAAAAAATAAAAAACCACAATTGGGCTCAAATTTTAAATTATTAAAAAATAAGAATGGATTAAACATTTTAAGCATGGTTGCATATGATTCTTTTTCTAAAACAAAACTCCAAAATAAAATAAATATGTAAACCGTCTGAATAAAAAATTAAAGTTATCACTGTCGGCATTGTTCAAGAATGAACGAAACACTTTAGGCATGGTTTGCATGCGAGCCTTTTTCACTTTATAAATAGAGTGTTTGATACTCGAATTCTTCTCATAATCAACTTAAAACACTGATTACAAATTCAGAACCAAAACCAAAAATGGCTGCGCAGAGGAAGATGTTAACGGTGCTGAGTATCGACGGAGGTGGCATTCGAGGCCTTATCCCCGGCACCATTCTTGATTCCCTCAAAACCATGCTTCAGGTAATCTTGAAAAACGTGACGGTGATTTAATACTATAGAATATTATAGAGAACCCGGAAAACATTAGCTTACAAATGGTTTATGTTTTGGTTGGAATTGGATGGACCGGATGCAAGACTAGCAGATTATTTCGACGTCATTGCCGGGGCAAGCACCGGTGGTCTGATAGCCACCATGCTTGCTGCTCCAAACGATCAAGGCCGACCCTTTATTGTAGCAAAAGATATAAAAGAGTTCCTATCTGGAGCATGGCCCCAAGATATTCCTCAAGGACAGGTCATTTCTAATGGCTTCTATTTGTTACTTTCTCTGAGCAGAATAAATTTTAAAGGTCTTATTTTTTTTATTCTTTAGTCGTCTTGAATTCTCGGAGTCAGTGGCAAAATCTCATTTACCCATTAGACCAATTTACGACGAGTTTACCTAAGAGAATTGAGAAAGAAGATATTACAAGACCGGAGTCTCAAAGACACTGACGAATCTGGTCATCCCAACTTTCGACGTCAAGTACATGTGCATGCAGTGGTCTTCACAACCAACAGTGTAGAGATTCGGTTATCCAGTTTTCGCATTCCTTTTGAAAGGAGAATTGAAATGCATATATATTAATTTGTAACGTATTCTTTTCGTACGGGCCAAGTCGGATGTTTCAAACAATGCTGGGTTAGCCGATGTCTGCAACGGCACCTCTGCTGCTCCCATATATTTTCCGGCATACTACTTCGAAACTAAGGATGCCGACGGCAATACCCTAATTTTCGATCTTGTTAATGGCGGAGTTGCTGCTGCTGCTAATCCTGTATGCACATAATTTCTTTCATCTGTCTTGTATGTATGTATGTATGTATGTATGAAGAATTTTTCTAATATCTCGAATCTTGATTTGCAGACATTGATAGCTATGAACAGAATTTCCATGGAGACGTTCAAGCAAAAGAGTGAAATGATGGATTCCAGTAGGCTGCTAGTGCTGTCGCTTGGCACTGGTGCAGCCAAGTACGAAGAGAAATATAATGCAGACATGGTGTCCAAATGGGGCATTCCCCATTGGCTCTTTCACAATTTCAATAGTAGTCCATTGCTTGAATCTATTGCCAGTGGAACCTTCGACATGGTCGACTTTACTATCGCTGCTCAACTCCAATCGGTTCAGTCCATCGAAAACTATCTCCATAACAATGAAAACGCTGTCGGGTGATACGGCATAATCGGACATTAAGACAGGAGAATATGAAAAACTTTATAGACATTGGAAATAAGTTGTTGAAGAAACGGTTCTCAAAAATCAATTGGAAAACCTGAATTATTGAAGAAGTTGAAGGGGAATCCACCAATGAAGAAGCCCGTGCCGTCTTGGCGAAGCTTTCTTCTTAAATGGGTTGATTTTAATGTCATGCTTTGCTCCAACAAATGCCTTTCCGTTTGGTGTGTATAATAAATGGAAGATAAGTTTAGATCTTCACTTGATTGTGTGATTCAATAAGTTGGAGCTGTACTGTTGTTCTTGGTCCTACAAATTATTGAAAAAGTAAAGGCTTGATTGTTTGTCAGATATGAGTGTGCCTCTTTCTCTAGGTCTCTTCAATCAACTGTCTGAAGTAATTTTAAAAATTCAGTTATAAAAAAATACAGATTCCCTTGACATACTTGAACCTTTAATTTGAACCGAAATATGGCAATTATTTGTTGGAAATAAAACACTCACACAAACAACTTTTATTGAAACTCAAACAAATATTACAAGAGCACTCTCACTCAAAAACAAGAACTACAACTTACTCTTATAGGACTTTGCTTCTTCACTCACTTAGAAGCTCTTAATTTTTCTTGATGCTTAAAACTAAAATGGGGAGGGGTATTTATACTACTCAAGAATAATCCTACACCACACAAATAAACTAATTTAAACCATTACAAATTCAACAAATACCTAACTATCACCTAACTAAATTGATGTAAGTAATGACATCATTATTTAAATGATGTAAGCAATGACATCTTTACTTAAATGATGTAAGCAATGACATCTTTACTTAAATGATGTAAGCAATGACATCAATTTAGTTTGGGTTTGGATTTAGGCTCCCATAATGGATCAAGTTTATGATCCAACACCCCCCTTTAAACTTGATCTTGTGACCCCTAGTAAGTTCCTTAATCTTATGAAGTCTTCACTTTTCAGTGGCTTGGTAAAAATATCGGCAACTTGATCTTGTGACTTCACGTATTCAACTTCCACATCATTTCTTGCAACACACTCTCTTATATAGTGGTAGCGAATGTCGATGTGCTTGCTTCGATCATGGAATACTGGATTCTTTGATAAGGCAATGACTGATTTGTTATCGATACAAACCTTGGTAGGATCTTCTTGTATCAAACATATCTCATTCAATAGATTTCTAAGACAAATTGCATGACAAACACATGAGGTAGCAGCAACATATTCCGCTTCACAAGTGGACAATGTGACAATCGGTTGTTTCTTTGACATCCATGTGAACGTAATATCTCCCATGAAAAATACGAATCCAGTAGTGCTTCTTCGATTATCTATGTCTCCACCCCAATCACTGTCGCTATATCCAACAAGCTTGTAATCGTTAGAAACTGAATAGAACAAGCCAAAGTCAATTGTACGTTTCAAATAGCGAAGAATTCTCTTTGTGGCTTTAAAATGGGTGGTTGTTGGAGATTTCATATAGTGACTAACCAATCCAACTGCGTGAAGAATATCGGGTCTCGTGCAAGTTAGATAGCGTAGACTTCCTACCAAACTTTTGAAGAATGTTGGATCTACACTCTCGCTTTCTTCATGTTTGGTCATTTTGATCCCGTATTCTGCTGGTGTGCTTATTGGCTTACAGTTCTCCATCTTGAACTTCTTCAGTATCTCCTTTGCATAGGTTTCCTGTGAAATGAAAATTCCATCATTTTGTTGCTTAACTTTAATGCCAAGGTAGTATGCCATGAGCCCCATGTTTGTCATCTCGAATTCTTTCATCATCACATCCTTGAATTCATTAAACATGCTTGGGTTGTTTCCGGTGAAGATCAAATCGTCCACATAGAGACACACGATCAAAATATCTTCATCTTTGATCTTGATATATAGAGCATGCTCGTAGGGACATTTGTTGAAGCCATTCTCTTGGAAGTACTTGTCGATTCGGCTATTCCATGCCCTTGGTGCTTGTTTTAGCCCGTAAAGAGCCTTATTCAACTTCAACACCTTGTCTTCATGCCCTTTGACTTCATAGCATGATGATTGCTGAATGTAAACTTCCTCTTCAAGAACTCCATTTAGGAAGGCGGACTTTACATCCATCTGTTGTATCTTCCACTTGTTTTGAGCTGCCAAAGAAATGATTAGTCTGATAGTCTCTAATCGAGCAACAGGAGCAAATACCTCATCATAGTCAATTCCAGCCTTTTGACTATAGCCTTTAGCAACTAGCCTCGCCTTGTGCCTTTCAATCTCTCCTTTGGCGTTTTGCTTTCTTTTGTACACCCATTTGACACCTATCGCCTTATGTCCCTTGGGAAGTGAGGTAAGTTCACATGTGTCATTCTTCTCGATGGCCTTGATTTCTTCATCCATCGCATCTCTCCATTTCTTTTCTTGTACCGCTTCTTGAAAGCTCACTGGTTCACAATCGGCAAACAGACAAAATAATGTAAGATTATTTTGTCGTTCAGTTACCTCATAGAGATCTCTAAGGCTTCTTGTGCGTTGCACAACTCTTTCACTTTGACTCTCACTTGACGATGATGAAGGTGATGAGTCTCCTTGAGTGGTTGATGTTGGTGAAGTGGGTGGAGTTGCAAGCTCTTGTTGAGATTCATCTAGTTGTTCCCTCATTGTCTGCTCATATTCTTCAAACTGAGGAAAGAAATTGAAGTCATCTGTATGAGAGTTAAAATCCCATTCTCCTTCTTCGTTGAAGACCACATCTCGACTAATCACAAACTTCTTATTGTTTGGATTGTACAACTTGTAGCCCTTCGAATTAGCATCATAGCCGATGAAGATAAAACTCTCGTTTTTATCATCAAGCTTCGTTCTTCTCTCGTCTGGTACGTGAACATGGGCTATACTTCCAAATGTTCTCAAATGGGAAATGTCAGGCTTTCTTCCACTCCATGCTTCTTGCGGTGTCTTTCCCCATACACTTCTTGTTGGAGATCAGTTTTTCAAGTAGACTGCACACGCTGCTGCCTCCGCCCAAAATTCCTTAGGTAGTTTCTTGCTTTTGAGCATGCTTCGTGCCATGTCGAGGATTGTTCTGTTCTTTCTTTCTGCCACACCATTTTGCTGGGGGATCTATGAACTGTCATTAGTTGACGAATTCCATTTGCTTCACAGAACTCTTGAAACTCCCTGGAAGTAAATTCTCCACCTCGATCAGATCTCTTGGCTTTGATCTTTCTATCGCTTTCTCTCTCCACTGCTGCTTGAACTTCTTGAAGACTTCAAAAACTTCTGACTTCTGTTTCAAGAAATATACCCAGGTTTTTCTTGAAAATCATCAATGAAGAGAAGAAATAGTTACTGTTACCGAGAGAGCTTGGCTTTATCGGTCCACACACATCGGTATGGATGAGCTCAAGTGGCTTCTTGGCTCTTGGCTCTGACTCCTTTGGAAAGCTTTTCCTGAATTGTTTCCCGACTAGACACCCTTCACAGAGATGGTCAGGATGGTTGATGCGAGGTATTCCTTTCACCATTTCCTTCTTAGATAACAGCTCTAGACCTCCAAAATTGAGATGCCTAAATCGAAGATGCCAAAGCCATGATGCATCTTTGTAGCAAGCTTTCAGGCACTTTGCAACATCATTTTGTATGTTGATCAAGAACATTCTATTCTTTGACATCGACACTTTAGCAATGAAGCTATTCTTATCATCTTTTATAGAAAGATTATAATTATTCATATGAATATCATAATCTTTCTCTACCAGTTGCCCTAAACTTAAGATGTTACTTTTCATATTGGGCACATAGTAGACATTTGAAATAAATTGATGTCTCCCATCTTTCAGACGGATAAGAATGTTACTTCTCCCTTTCACTGCTATTGGGAATCATCTCCAAACGAAACATTTCCGCTTACTGACTCGTCTAGCTCCACAAACATGTCTTTCCTTCCACACATGTGATTGCTTGCACCACTGTCAAGATACCAGGAATTTGCTTGGTCATTATCAGTTTTCTTTCGTGCTAGAAGAAGAGTTTCTTTGCCATCTGTCTTTTCCTCCACATAATTGGCCTTCTCCTCAATTTTTTTGTTGGGAGCTCTACATTCTGAAGCATAATGCCCAAACTTTTGACAATTATAACATCGAATTTGAGA